ATACAGTCCATTTATGAAGGATTGCATGTGGCTGCCAGCCAGAGAATCGGAAGATTGAAATGGAGGGACGTGGCGAAGTCCAACCAAGTATTTCCGGTTCTCAAACATGTGAAAGGACGCCGAGTTAGGCACTTCGTGCCGGTTGCTCTGTCGCTTGCAGAACGGTACAAGGAAACCTGCCTGAGATATTATGTCATGCTGTAGTTGGTTGTTTTCACAGATGCTGCTACAGGATCCTTTTTTTGGACCTTATCCGAGGACGAGGACCCAAAATCCCAGCATCGCTTCTTGGCCATTGAAGCTTTGGCGAAGATGTATGCACCTTGGATGTCTAGAATAATTGCCGAAGAGTTTGTTTCAAGTGTAGAGTTTCGCGAACTAGGTTTAAGAAGACTGTATGTATCAGGATTTGGTGGACCAGCCGGATGTGAGATGGAAGAAGGAGGACCAAATCGCATTCAGCAAGTCCGTGGAGAAATGTCTGAAACACTACCAATGGCTTGGAAAACATTGCTTTGAGAAAAAGCTCTTGAGATATTCTATGGTCCAGAAGTTCCACCTCACTGCCCACATGCCGCATGCCCTCCACGGCCATGTTTATGAACCCGCGGTTGTAGCTTGGACCGCATTTCAGATTTTCCCTTGTGTCCATAACACGTCTACGGGATTTGCAAGCACGCCTTCATGAGGACGTGGTGCTACGGTGCCGAGAGCTTCATGGGAACTATGGTTCATTTGGCCGGCAGCTGTGTGCATAGCACCGCCGCTGTCAAGCTTCCCGCTGCCATGATGGCCAAGTATAGGTTCCTGTGGGATCTTTTGCTCAGGAGGGTTGTGGACTTGGACTTGGATGACTGATCGAAGGCAAAATGTTATGCATGGGTTGGATAGCCCTACAGCACCGTTCATGTCTGTGGAATGATATAGGCCCGGGTTGGAGAGCCCGGTAGCTGCATGAACATGAAGATGTTTTTTTTGGCAGTTCGAGCTGTGGAACCCAAGGCTTTAGTAGCTAGTGCAAGCAATGGCCCTTCAGAAGAAGCCCGCCATAAAGGCGGGGTAGCAAACTTTTATGTAGATTACATCGTTTTTTGCGCCACTGCCAGGACCAGAAGGTGAAGCGAAAGCCTGCACTGAAGAAGCCGGCCCAAAGCCAGGAGAAGATCCCCAAGGTGGACGTGTTTCTTCTCGCGGGTGAAGTCATGCAATGAATACACTACTTAGGCAAATAAGGATATCAATAAACGTTTTTAGTGCAATTTTTGGCCGCATCGAGGAGCAGATGGATGCCAGAGAAGAAGCCCTTTCGAAGAAGAAGGACCCAGATGCTGATGGAGAGGAGCCGAACCTGAGCCAAGCCTCGACACTGGTACTTCCAGGAGTTCCGGGAGCTGTGCTGCCAGAATACCCGCAGAAGGATGATGAGAAACCGTTGCTAGAAGAGCCTGAGCCGGAGCCTGTGAAAGAAGCCTTCAAAGAAGAGGACAAGCAGGACAAGGAGCCAGAAAAGCTCAGGAGGCTCACAGTGTCTTTGGAGTTCGAGGTCTAGGACTGTCTTTGGAGAGCTCGAACTGGGAAGCTCGAAAAAAAGGAGCAAATGCCCAAGGGGTTGGAAACATGGGTTGGGAAGCCCAGCAGACAGATAGGGCCACGAGGGCAAAGCACTCATGGTCATTGCATGGGTTGGAAAGCCCAGTTAGCCACGCAAACCTTTATGGTGTTTTTATGTGCTAGCTATTTTTGCTCAACTACATGTGCTTTAAGTTCGAGCTAGGACTTTGAGCCAGCGGAGCCGCATGGATTCAGAGGCAGAATTGTCTGCTCGCTTTGCTGCTCTGGAATCTTTCTTCCAAAGTGTCATTGACGCTCGTTGTTCTGTTTTGGAGCAGCGACTAGCTGCAGTGGAGATCACGAACCAGGACGATCGTTGTTCTGTTTTGGAGCAGCGACTAGCTGCAGTGGAGATCACGAACCAGGCTGTGCTGAATTCTTTGCGGCACGTGTCTGGCGAGGTCGAAAACCTCGAGAATCGTTTTGCGGTTTTTGAGTTTGCCAACGGCCCCGTTAGTGAGGACGACTTTGCTGCTTTCAGGCAGGAACTTCACGAGGCCCTGAATCAGCTTCGTCAGCAGGTGGACCGTGCTGTGTCTGCTGTGCAAGCACAGCATTCGTCTGCCAGGGGAGAGTCCGATTGAGTTCAGCTCGAACTGGGAAAGCTGAAAAAAAGGAGCAAATGCCCAAGGGGTTGGAAACATGGGTTGGGAAGCCCAGCAGGACGACAGATAGGGCCACGAGGGCAAAGCACTCATGGTCATTGCATGGGTTGGAAAGCCCAGTTAGCCACGCAAACCTTTATGGTGTTTTTATGTGCTAGCTATTTTTGCTCAAGCTCGCCCATCATGGAAGATGAAATCATTCTGCAAAAACTTCGGGCCAGTGGAGCACCAACCCGCTTGGCCAAGCAGCTGTTGACCATCTGGTGTCGGAGTTTCATGGAGCAGTGTGAGGAGGAGACCCTTCTGGACCACGTTGAATGCCGGGGGTACCGCTTGGAGCTGGAGCTTGAGGAGCTGCAATCAGAACAGGCCGTTCGGAGCAGGCAGCTGGAGCTTATGTGGATCCGTCGTGTTTTAAAGTCATAGACAGCTGTCATAGACACGATGGACTAATTAACAGATCGATGGGGATCGCCTTGTGAGGGGATTAAAAAGCGCATGCAAGGATCTGGAAGTTTAGTGCTGTTACTCAAGTGTGTATGGGTTGGGAAGCCCGGCCCAGGAATTAAAGATATATGTATATGTATGCATGTGTGTGTGTGTATTTGCATGTCATACGAAATGATTCGTTTCACAACTGCATGCCAAGAATTGGCTGCATATGGGTTGGAAAGCCCAAACCAAAAGGGTTGGACAGCCCCTGCAACTATATATGGATTTTCTATTGATTTTACTGTGGATTTTCTATTGATTTTACTCTGGATTTTCTATTGATTTTATTCTGGATTCTCTATTGATTTTACTGTGCATTCTCTATTGATTTTATGCATGCTCTCTCGATTCATTTTATGGGATCGGTTTTGTGATATCCTCGATTGATTTTGACTCTACTCTTCTATTGAATTTCATGCAAAAGTTCTCTATTGAAAAAATCCAGAAACGCTTGATTTTACATAAATTTCAAAACCCTATTGATTTGAAAAAATTCAATATCGGATGCTCTGGGCCTTTGGACGAGGGAGGACGACGGCGCTTCGGCACGCACAGCCTGCGCGTCACCGGGGCGGTGGTGGCGTTCGCGGCTGGGTTGGACGCCGAGGCGGTGATGTCGCTGGGGCGATGGAAGAGCGAGGCTGCCATGAGGCGCGGGGCGCCCATAGCATAGCGCGCGCAGCAAAGGCCTCGCAAACCATTGCCCGCGCCCTGAGAGAAGGCCCCATGTCCTGGGGAAGCGGAGGCCCGGTAGGGGCCAGCGCGGGCCCCCCAGGCACCAAGGAACTTCTGAGGGCAGGAATAGCCCAGAAGTCTGAGGACTTGGTCGTGAAGATCAAGAACGGGCTCACGGGGACTCTGCACGCTCCCCGGGCCCTGGATCTGAACCACCCGGCCGCGTCGAATGCGAGGTGCGGGTGGAACTGGGTCAGGCTCCGGCTTGAGCTTTCCGGGCAGAATCGCCTGGACGTTCTGTACAAAACCAAAAGAGAAAACAAGTAAGGCCGACTCTCCTGTAGTGCTAGGACGCGGTGAACCATGTAGGCACGTCGTTAGCGCCTAGCTCCTTGACGCTCAGGTGCAAAGTCGACCGGAGGTCGCTCGCAGGGAATCCTGCTGAGGGGCGGCGGAGGGCATTTGGCCCCACGCCCCGCATCTTGGAAGCGGGTTTCCCCCTTCGTCCTTCCCCCCCTGATCGAGAGTGGAGCTCGAGGCAGGAACGCTGCGGGGACGGGACGAAGAAGGGGAGATCGGAGTGCATCGATTTGAGCCCACGATGGGCACGGCGGCTCGACGAAGGTCTGAGGGACAAACCGCCGTCTCAGCAGCTACAAAAAGAAAGGAGTGTCCGAGTGCATGCCTAGGGCGGTCTGGGTGGGGGCATGCACGAAGCAAAGATTGTTGTGGACTACACGCGTGTAAGAAATAACAATCGTGCTGCAGTGCCTGGAGGTTAGGGATAGCAGCTGACTCCCGTGGCCATTATTGGGTCAAGCCCGCCACCGGGAGTCACTGATCGGCTGTCTTCCCACCCACCACTCCCGACAGCCTTCTGAGGTGGCACGTCGTTAGCGCCTAGCTTGTTGACGCTCAGGTGCAAAGTCGACCGGAGGTCGCTCGCAGGGAATCCTGCTGAGGGGCGGCGGAGGGCATTTGGCCCCACGCCCCGCATCTTGGAAGCGGGTTTCCCCCTTCGTCCTTCCCCCCCTGATCGAGAGTGGAGCTCGAGGCAGGAACGCTGCGGGGACGGGACGAAGAAGGGGAGATCGGAGTGCATCGATTTGAGCCCACGATGGGCACGGCGGCTCGACGAAGGTCTGAGGGACAAACCGCCGTCTCAGCAGCTACAAAAAGAAAGGAGTGTCCGAGTGCATGCCTAGGGCGGTCTGGGTGGGGGCATGCACGAAGCAAAGATTGTTGGTGGTCTGAAGTCCCTGCTGGTCTCCTCCTCCTAGTTGTCCCGCTCCTGGTGGTGCTGATCGTGGTGGTCCTGGTGGTCCTAGAGTCCAAATGGTCGTGGTCGTCATGGTCGAAGTGGTGCTCGTTCATGATTTCGGCCGAAGGCTAAGACCGTTTAGCGAATGTCTTTAATTATGCCAGAGGTAGAGAAACCGCACAAGGTTGACGGCTATGTACGCAGTTACTGAGATACACGGTTGCCACGCTCAAATAGTCAAGCAGTTCAGAGTGCCTGTTGACCATCGGATGTAGCTGATAATCTTTCCAACATGGGGACTGTCTAAGCCTGTGGTACTTACTATGTCCCCAGGTTCTTTCACGAAAGCTTTTCAGGAGCTGGCCTTGGGGGTCCGCCCACTTGTCGCGCACCTCGCAGCCTCAGCCGGTGTTCTCTACGTATCTTGATAACGAAAGTATTTATAGTCCCGTAAGGTTTCATAGAGTTCCTTGAGGCTTGTACGTGGGGTCTCCATAAAGTTTTACCGTATCAGGCTTCGGGGTTTAGGGCTTCAGGCCTGCCTCCACACGCACTTTTGTTGCCCTTCTGTATGGCTGTATGATGCCGCCTATGCTGTGACGCAAGTGGGCCCGACGAACAAGCGTCACCAACATTACAGCGCCAGCAGCAGCACTCATTAGCAGCGGGAGTGGTAGTAGTTAGTCATGGTAATGCTGCAAAGGTTGCCGTAAGAGAGAGCGCACGGCCGGCGTTGGCGATGCTGCTGCGGCCACTAAGGCTGCAAAGGGTTGCAGGGGAGGTGTTAGCTTGTGTATAGGAGGTCTAGAAGTTCAGGGGTTGAGGCTTTGTGGGCTTCCGTGGGTGTGCGTCTTTGTGTTTTGGAGAACCTGCACCTGAAGTTATTCTGGGCGAAGTATTCGTGTGTGTGCGGGGAAGAGTTAGTTCACCGTGTTCTGGGGAATGACGCAATCACAGAGCAGCGACTCTGAGTTCAACAAGCAAAGCCACACAGGTCTCGAACAGGAAGGTCATCAGATGGTTTTCAAAGCTGATAGACCCCAAGCTTCCATTGCGCTGTTTGTGTCACCAGGAATCTATGCGGAGTTGCATTCAACCCTCTGAGCCCTGAGGCCTGAACGGTCATGTTAAGCGGCCATTCCCAAGCCCCACGGCCAGCGCTAAGGTGTGGGGCAATCCATCGCAATCCGGCCGCGCTGCACCGCCTTGGTTGCGGCCCGAGAGTCTTGTTCCAGCGGCTGCACGGTGGCCAGAACGAGTTTACTTGCAGGTCCATGCTACCAGACGAATGGTAAACCACAGGTTCCTATGCACCTCCGTGTTTGGCTCATGCACTTTCGGCTAGACTCTAGACCAAGCTAGGATTCTGGCCGGCCATGTCGGAGGAAGCTGGGCCCGGGAAGCAGCATCTGAACAAGTCGTTTCTGAGCGACAAGATCGCCCTGCAAGCATCTTGAGATGGTACTAGTAGCTGACCGTAGTTACAGAACTGGGAGTTAGCATGAGACAGGACGCGCCCCGGCCGCCCAACTTTTCTGGCACTTCGCAGCAGTGGCGACGCTCGAGGCAGTCGCACAAGCGCACAAGCCCAGCGAGGTCCATAATAGGCTAATTCTCGTGTGTCGTCCGGCCGCCGCGTCCCGCGTCCGACGCCCCACGTCCCGCGCCCTGTGCCCCGCTCCCCACGCCCCGCGTCCCGCGTCCCGCGCGCCTTCGCGGCAAAACCAAACTATACCCGCGAGGTCACGCCCCCGTCATCGGTCCAGGAAGAGATGGTTACAGCTACAGGAGACTTGACGGGAGAGTCTGTCTGACACACCACCGATGTCCACAGACTTCAGTCCGATGTCCGTGGATGAGCCCGGAAAGGCCGGAGCAGCGAGCACGTCGCCATCGAGCCCTCACACAATCGATCGGTCGCCACCGCCTGTTGGCAGCAGGGGCGTCAGAGTGGACGAGTTGGAGATGCACACGCCAGGTGCAAGCGACACTGCCTCCAAGAAGAAGTAGAAGATCGAAGAAGTCAAAGAAGCACAAGAGACAGAGCAAAGCCCGGTCTCTAGCTTCCTGTAACCTTTTCGGGGTGGGGAGGGGGGGGGGAGGCGAGCATACGTACGTATGTAAGTACATACATCTTACCCACGTACATACGTACCGTTTTTACTGCATGTATATGTACCTACCATACTGACAGTGTACTCATGTGGGTCCTGTATGTGTATACATGTTTATTCTAGGGTTCTTGCTGTGTTTTTCTTTCAGCTTGCTGGGCTATCCGTGGCCCATGTATCCTTGGACACGGCCGCAGAGCGTTTGAGGCACGCTCCACATGGTAATAGCAGTCCCCATCAGCTGGGAATTTGCTATCACACCGTGGAGGTGAAGCAGGGCCACGTGTGCTGCCGCCAGTCAACATTGATCGCCACAGCTGAAGATGTGGACGGAGCTCCCTATGCATGGAGTGGGCAGGAGTTCAGGGGCGAGGTGGCACGAAAGAAAGCACAGGCCGAGAATGCCGATGCAGCGGTTCAACAAACGGCTGCTGACATGGATCCGGCTTATGCCTACAAGCTTTCCCCGTGCCAGAAAGGCAGGCTGCCGTTGCTGAAAGAATTCCGCCGTGCCAAGTTGGCTGCTGCAGCAGCGGGGAGACAAAAGTGTCCTTGCATGTGCTGGCATACCTAAGGGTCCACCCGACATGGAACACTAGGCATGCCCAAGACATGCGAGTCTTTGTGTAATGCGTCGAAGTCCTACTTGCAGGGCATGGGCCGTGCTCCTAAGCCCTAAGCCTAGGCAGATTGTGTTCAGTCTGAAGGAGCCTGTCGGGCGCTGTGACGGAGAGTAATCCATTGCCGAAGGCTTTTGAAGCAGAGAGGTGAGGCAATTGCGGCAGTCAACATCGAACGTAGCCAAGCCTGACCATAGCAGCCAACAGGCACGAAAGAGATGTCGCGGCCTCGGGCCCGCGGGACTCGTCGGCGATGGCATTCCCCATCACCGGTGGGATCCGGCGGGATGCTCCCGACATGATTCGCGAGTGTCACGCGTAGATGAGACATACTTCCTGCCACGTTTGTGATTGTCCCAGGTCGCATAAGGAACTCGGCCTCACCACCGTGCTCGTTACCCACGACATGTTGGTCCGTGCTGCCTGGAACTTAGAGTGAAGGGTCGTGAGTACTGGCTAGGGATCAGAAATTCTGATGAACCTCAACCGCATATGCACGCATTCGCCAGACTTGCCATGCGGGAGCCAAAAAAAAGTAACTAACTCTTACAAAGCAGCGGATTAGTCGTTTGTAAGGTTTCGATTGGCTTCAACAAGCTCTCGGGCATTGCTAGAATGCTCATGGGTAGTTACGAATGCAGGATCACATGGATGATCATGCGTCGAGTTTCCTGATACTGGAGGGAGTGGAGGCCCCTACATCTTTTTGCGGTGCATCTAGGGTCAAGGGTTTGTGTGTACGTGTGTCACCAGCTTTGCTAGAACACCGTGGAGGTGCACAGCCGCTGGTCTCTGCAGCATGCCTGGAGCTTGGAGTGAAGGCAGTCATGGCAGAGGGTCAACCGTCACGGTGAACCCTTAACCCTACGCGCATAGACACAGTTCCAAAAGGCCCGTGGGGTTTCTATCGGTTGATACAGGTTTGCTAGAACGCGCATGTGTATAGTTACAAAGCTAGAGTCCTACGGATACATCGGGTCATAACAATCATGCTTGTTGTTTCCCTATCGACAGCTCAGTTACGAGCACCCATGAACCTTCAGGCAGACCTTGCGAAGTGGGCACGTATGTTTCGCATCGCGCAGTAACACCTGCAGCATACGCTGACGAGTGTTACGGGTTAGGCCATTAATTTCCCAGCCCCACAGGCCTGGGATGCACAATGGCTGGCCTTCCACCAGGAGGAGGCCAGACTGCAGGTGATGCACACGTTTAAGTTTTGGGGTTTGTGATGCGCATGTTCTGCTTGGTGCCGCGGGCAGAAGGATGAGGGCTTTTGGGATGAGGGCTTGAGGATTCTAGGTGCAAGCTGCAAGGCTGTGTTTTCGGGCTTCGGGATCGGTTTGCCACTGCCACTGCCACTATAATCGTCACTACCACTCCCACGACCACTTCCATCGCTATCACTATCATCACTACTATTCCTTCTGCTGCTACTGGTACTACTTTCACGACGACGACGACGACTACTACTACTCCCCACTACTCCCTCCCACTCCTGCTCCTACTCATATGTTGCCACATTTGGTACTATTATGTCTGGGTGTTGTTGTCAATCCACGGCTTTGTTGCTATGTTTGGTCTTGCCTCTTGATGATTGTCTTTTTTTCGTCATTGCGTGTTGTTGATTCTTCAAGGATTACGGTCATTCTTTTTAATATTGCCGGTGACTGGTGGCTGCTAGTGTGAGTGTTGCTGTTATTGTTGTCAAAGTTTTGATACTGTTTAATTCTGGATGTAAACTGTTTCTCCGAGTAATGAGTATCACTGGGACTACTATTCCAGTTGCTGCCAGTACTAAGTGCCGCTTCATTTCTGGTTCCTTGCTTGCCACGATGCACCTCCTGCTCGTAGTGCTTCCATTGATTTCCAGCAGACGACGAAGAGCCGTCGTTTTGATTCGCGATTTGCTCAAATAAATGCTTTGCCTTGGAACATGACAGTTATGGATTCGCATCGTAAGGGCCGGGGCGCATAGGGCATGGGCTGCTGCTGCAGCACGGAAATACCTGCGAGTCGTCGTGTCACAGCTCTATAAGAGAAGGCACTTGCATGTGACTCTTTTCGCGGCTGTTTTATCGAGGAGTTGTGATGAGGTTTCAAAGTGGCATTGTGCGGATGAAGTATCAGATATGTGTCGAGGTTCCTGATCTAAAGCCCGACGTATTGGAGGGAGTGGAGGCCCCTACATCTTTTTGCGGTGCATAAAAACATGGCCGGGTGCGGCCAAACCCTCGGTCAGGGACTTCCATGAGCTTCGCGAGAGTGAGTGAGTGCGTGGGTGAGTGAGTAAGTGAGTCCGCGTGCGTGCGTGCGTGCGTGTGTGTGTGTGTGTGCGTGTGTGTGTGTGTGTGGGGAACCCAAACTACAACGGGCCAGTGATGTTGCGAAAACGATTTCTTTATGCAGGGGGACACAGCATGTCACTGGGACTGTGTCCAACGAAGCTACCAGTGACATGGGAAGAGAGGACTGATCATCCTCTTGTACCTGCCAAAGAAGTTTGTGACGTCATCTATAGTATAAGCTGTGCAATGGTTCTGCAATTTCATCATCGCTGTACATTGGTGACTCCGAGTATGATTCCGAGTGCAAGTTCAGGAAAAAGGTTCAAGGTGCTCCTTGGCTATTTGGCTATTTTGGTACAGTTTCGCAGCAAGGCAACCAAGACCATTGAAGGCCTCCACAACATTTTTTTTGAAGTTTCTCATCGGAGTCATTGAACTCATTGATGAGTGAGAATTGACCATGAATGAACATTCCACCAGGGAAGCCTGGGTGTTCAAGTGTGTATTGGGCACGGCCTTATCCGTCACGGCGCCATTACCGCTGCTCTCGAGGCAGTATCCCTTGAAACAGTGCCCCTGAGTGGGACGGGTGACCCTTGGCTAGGTTCTTAACAGGCCCGAACGAGAACAGACCGGCAAGTACAGTTTGAGACTGGAAAGTATACGTTGACAAAGACGTGATGATCTGTGCCTCAAGCTTGAAATTGATCCAGTCTTGAAGTACGCTTGAAGTGGACATGCATGTTGCTGATTGCAAGCGTAGGTGTAATGCGATGTAAAAGCTGCTAATGCACGACACTGGGCTTTCATCAACTTTTCTTTTGTTTTTGGCTTTTGTCCTTTACGTGGTTTAGTTTAGTTTGCAGTTGCGTGTAGCAGCTATATCCAACGCCATGGAGATCAACATTCAAATCAAGAATGCGAATCCCGAAGACCTGTTGCAAGCGTTTGCAGCACTGAGCGGCGGAGCAGCATCCTCGGCAGCCTCCTCGACACCATCAGCGGCACCCTCTACTACTGAGCAAGGGAGACCGCCTCTGAAAAGAGTCCGCAAAGAAGCTCGAGCCACGACTGCGGCAACAAGGAGATCCCCCAGCCTCCTTTTCAATCAAGCGGAGCTCATTGCGCTCCAGGCCGTGAACCCTCAAGTACCGCCGTCCTCCACAGACGCTGAGAGTGCAGCAGGCTCCGGGGCCAAGGCCAAGCGAAAGGCTCAGCCGTACTCAGCATTTCGGAGACATGAAGGACGCACATTGTCCCCTAGACCGTACTTTCAACGAAGTGATCAACTTGGAGCAGGAGAAGCCCCTCCCACGCCAAGACCGACATCGGGAATATTGGCCCTGCCGGCATCTTCCCCGAGCACATCCTCCAGACCATCCCGGCCATTGCTCATCCGGAAGAAGCGCGCAGATTCGAGATCACCAAGGCGCAGTCGGAGCAACTCAAGACCAAGGGCTATTTTAAAATCCAGGTCACACACTCCCAAGACAAGATCCAGATCTCGCACTCCCAAGACAACACCCAGATCTCGCACTCCCAGAACTAGTAGACGTACAGCTACGCCGGGCACCACTGCAGCACCGAAGGCATCCAGTACACCAACGCCTAAGCAGGACCCCAGGATCTACGAGAACCCACGGATGCCATCGAGAATTACATTCGACAAGAACATCAAGCAGTTCCGTACCAACTGGAGAGACATCGAGATTCCACAATTTCCCATACACGACTCCACCAAGCAGTATGTGGATGCGCTATGTGCCGCAGCAGAATTTAAAATTCATTCCGGCGTCCTCCTGGAGCACGACCTCACCTGGGACAGAGGAGGAGATCCATCACCGGAAACAATGCGGAGATTCTACTTCTTGCAGTCCTCGGACCTCACATTGCGCGAGCCACCCCTACCAACACGGCAAGAAAAGATCCTATTTTGGTCGCACGCAACAGATGTGGGTGCACTTATATGCACATGTTGAAGCAGCGAGATATGCGCCCGATGAATGCGCATGGAGTTGCAGCATTTGGCTGCAACATATTCTACGCATTGGGCCACGACATGTCCGGGTCAGACATTGACGAGCACAACCTGACCCGAGTGATCTTCAACACCACACGGAGCGCCAAGAACCTGGCTGGCATCGTCGTGGGAGGACGTGCATGGGGATCTCTTCGCAAACATTTTGGCGGATCCTTTGAAACTGCACGTGCAGCAACCGAAGAAGATGAGGTGCTCAAGGATGCGAATGCAAAAGCTTATTGCGTATCTCGCAACAGATATTGCTTTACATGCATTGCGTTTGAGCAGATGATGACGCCGCCATCCACAGCGAACACCCTCATCTCGCAGTACCACAACGCTGCAGGCGTCGCTCCAAAAGGACGAGCTCGCCTTGCTCTACTCTAACTGCGAAAGCCGGGCAACTGCGAAAGCCGGACAACTACTACCTGACAACATCCGGCAAGTCTTCCCCGACAACATCCGGCAGATCTTCCCTTGCAGTATGTACAACGCCAGACTGCGACGCTACAGGTTTTTCGCAGCAAAAGGTGCAGTGCTGCGTTGCTTTTACTTTTACTTTTGCAGTGCATCTTTTTCGTTTTCTGGTTAGTGAGTTTGCAGGTTCTTTCTTTCTTTCCCTCTTTTCCGGTAGCCCTTTATCAAGACAGTGCTCCTACCTTCCAGTATCCCGCAGAAAATGGCCAACACGTGGACCGGCAGCTGGCCCCAGGGATCGCAAGAGCCAGCATGGTGGCAACCAGGAAGCACGGGTGCGGCGAGCACCCCATCTAACCAAAGCCAGGTCGGAGGAGCAGGATGGATGCAAGCGCCAACATCGATGCAAGCGCCAACATCGCTGCCGCCGTGGCCGCCTTTGCCCCCACCACCGTTGCCGCCGCCTTCAGATGGCCAAAACAACGCGGGCGCATCGGGTACATCGGGATCCACACCGCGGGTGCCACTTCCTAGCCAATTCAAACAGGACCCGGACCATTATGATGCGAACCTCGTGTTCAAAGCAACGCTTCGACGACACATTGAACCTACGGCGTGGAGCCGGGCCCAAGGACTCGCGGGCATGGATGTTCGGGACGTTACGGTTGCACACCTTTGCAGACACGGCATGGAAGAATTTGGCTTACGAGGACTTTCCCACGGCAAGTTCACCGGCATGGTCTTAACGCGCAACTGCGCAACATCGCCGAGAGTGTCTTCTTGTCCCAGCTCCAGAAGAAGCTCCGCGAGAACAACATTGACATTGACGCCACCATCGAAGCCATTTACAGCAGCAAAGGCGAGAAGCCCCCGGACAAAGTCAAAGAGGCCACAACATTCGTGACACCTCTCGTGGACGCCTTCCTTGACTCTATCAAGCCATGGACACAAGTCCGCAACTACGCCACCAAGAACTCCGACAACGACAACCAAGCAGCTCAGCGTATGCAAGCCCTCGAAGAGCAAACCGCCAAGTACAAAGAGCGCCTCCGCAATGCAGGCACTGACGTCACGCCACAGAAGCCACATCCCCTTCCGCTTCAAGCAGAGCCAGCAGAAGCTCCGGAGGTGCCGGGGAAACCATCAAAGCGCAGACGCATCACCAAGGGAGCCGGCCCAAAACGCAACGAGGACATCCTTGCCGAGCCTCACAATGTCATCCGGGCAAGTGGATATGAGCCACCCTCCAGTATGACATCAATTGCAACCTGGGTCACCAACCTGAAGAAGAGCCTTCCCCGCGACAAGCACGCAGAGGTTGACAACCACATCCACGCCATGCAGACACTCCTCGAGAACACCAAGCACACCAAGTCAGAGCTGCAGGAGATGGCCAGACGCTGGGGACTCCCACTATCGCTCACTACCGCGCCCAAGGCATCGCCGAAGAACCTACAGCAGC